TGCAAAGTATTGGCCCTTGAAAGCACAAAACAAAACTCAGATGAATGTTGCGATTTTGAGATCATAAGAGAGAGTAATAAAAATATAATTACAAATGGAGAACAAGGGAGGATAGAGAGGAAAAAGATAATGGTTGGCTTGTTTGCTCTAAGGGAGTCTGCAAACCAGTGTCAAACTATTTGATAGTAGGCTTGCTTGACTTTCATATATAAGTATGCATATGTTGCCTTCTTCCTGCCAAAATGCCATTAAAGCAATAGTGGATCTACGAACAATTATTGTTAGGGGTTAAATGGATGGTTTAGATAATGTATTATAATAGAAACTTTTTTCAGGGCTTGAAATCCTAATTTTTTCACAACCATAATGGTCAAGGCCGAGTTGATCGATTTGAAAGTTTTTTGAAGCTAGACCTGCAATTTTTGGTGAGTTTTGAGGTGAGGCGTTCCTTATTTTCATAAAGCCACAACGCTATCAAAACATTTTCCTAAAAATAAAAGAAAAAGAAGAAAAAAATAACGCCCGTGAATGCTTTGAAAGAGTAATTTGATCTTCCATTGTCTCTCCTTGAGAAAATCACCTCGGCCAAGGTAATTGGCCCTTGGTTGACGCGCGTAACTCAGCCAAATTTGAGTAGACTAGGCAGAGTCATGTACAACCAAGTAAAATAAAAAGAGTGAAAATTTTTTAAAAAATCCAAAAAATGGTTACAAATAAAATTATTAAAAAAATTAATAGAACAGGCAAAGAACCTCAAGAGCTCACTTGAACTAGGGGAGAGCGAAGCGGAACAACCACGAGTACGACCAAAGGGTAAAGTTTCTTACTACCCCATAGAGGTAAAGAGTCGTGTAGGGAAGTAAGGGTAAATGATATGATTCAAAATTTTATAATAATTGATTTGATGAAGTCTCCTATTTTGTCTATAGGAAAAGAGAATGATATAGCAGGTTCAGGATTGATCCCTAATAATGGATCAGATTGCATCAACTTGCTTTCGTACTTTCTCAGTGGTGACTCTTTTCATAGCGTAGGCTCAGCTCCACTCGTTGGTCTGACCTTCATTACTTCTAAGCAATAGTATAGATAAAGTCTTTCTGCGACTGAGAAAGCCAACGGTTAGCATAAAGGTTCAAGACTTAAACCGAGAAAGTGAGCGAAGCAAAAGTGCGGAGCTACTCAGTTTCGCAAGCCTTTGTCAGTCAGCTAAGTAAAGCGAACAGTCCCCTGCGAATCTGATGAGCATGCTGCAAAAAAAAAAAGGATGGTCCCTTTATTTCATTCTTTCAGGAACGAAACAGTAACATGGTGAACCTCTCCTTGCTATATGGCCTCTTATTAATTTCATTCTTTCAGTGACCACCCCCATCATCATCATCATGGTGAACCTCTCCTTGTTATCGGGATGAGGTAGATGCCTCCTCGCTGGGAGGCGAATGGAAATGGAGTTTCCTCAGGTCCTACACTTCTCTTTAAACTTCCGTGCTTGGTGGATAAGAAGCGAACAAAGTTACGCTTGTTAGTTGTGTTGTTCTGGTCAGATTGGAGCAACATGACAACATATTACCCATCCTGGGGGACAAGGGGCAGAACTACCTCTCGATCTACTGATTGAGTTTTCGACCGTTTTGGTGATCGACATGTATTTAAAAAATAAAAAAATAATAAAATAAAAAATAAAATAAAATATATATAT